CACAGTTTTCAAAATAGAAGAATTAAGTTCAATGTTTAAAAGGATTCTAAAGCTTTAAAGTAATCTGGAAAAGGCAAAGATTAAAGTTTACTTTAATATGCCAGGGCATACTTTAATAGCTCAGAGAATTCAAATTCATAGGGTTTATTTCCAGTGCTGCCACTAGTTCATTGTGTGCACTTAAATAAATCACTTAACCTTGCTATGGCCCTAGTTTCCTATTTGTAAAATGAAAACAATAACAATATTGACCAAGATTGCTAGTGTGCCTAAACATTAATATTTATAACATATTTTGAAAGCCTGGATTGAAGATTCCTTAGTTGTGTTAACTTTATTTTTTGGATAGTGGTCAGAAAATAAACCAGATGGTAGTATTTCTAAATAGTTATTATATTAGAAATAATTTTTAAAAATTCTAAAATTTAGTTTAAACTTATGAATTAATAATAAAAGAGAGTTTATTTTTTCTTTGTGGTTGCAGGAAAAAAATTACAGAGTGAGGAGTTTAAACTTCAACTGTTTCCACCCTGATCATACTACAAAAACTCATATAACACATAAATGTCCTTCAAAGTTTCACTGGCACATTTCTGGAAAGATGTAAAACTATTTTTAACCTCAAGTAATCAGAAGTATGCATACTTATAAATACAATAGCTGCATATAAAAAAGAATTTTCTGGACAGGAGAAGGTTTTTTTTTTTTCTCCAGCTGACTTAACCCATAGTCCACATACACCCTTGTTGTTGTTCCCTTATTTTTTCTTCCAAAATTAATTCTGTATTTTTCATATTAATACTTTATTCTCAATCCACTGATTGCTCATTAAGTCAGGTGGCTACTTTGCATATAGAAGGCAAAGTCAGACAAATTTTCCATTAAAAAATAATAGTTTTCCATTCAGTTTTTAGGGAACAATAATCTGCAAAAATGGAGGCTCTATGAACATGAGGAAGCTATAAAAACCTCTTCACAATATTTCTTTATATTCTATTGTATTGATGATTGATTCTGGCTGTTGGTGATCACAGAACATTAATGATGCATTTGGCAAAAAAATTCCTACCAGACTGATCGTGACTGACTGGAATCTGCAGTGCATGATACCAAGAGACACAATTTGTCTTTACTCACAGCTCTTTATTTGACCTTTTTGCTAGAGACTGCTTCCTTTTCACTTTTTGTAGCATTTAGTAGGGATAATCTTTGGCTTCCAAAAATAATTCCACAAACAGGAAATTCACAATTTTAAAAATTTTAATGTTTGCATGTTATAAACCTGACAATCAGCAATAAAGATGAACATTACAAGTCATTTTCTTTTTTGGCTAGGCAATGGGGTTAGGTGACTTGCCCAGGGACACACAGCTAGTAAGTGTCATGTGTCTGAGGTCGGATTTGAATCAGGTCCTCCTTACTCCAGGGCTGGTGCGCTATCCACTGCCACCTAGCTGCCCCAGGTCATTTTCTTATTTGTAGGAAATTAGATAGCAATGACTCAATTTGACTTAAAATAGGTATCTAAATATTTACAGTTTAAATATGAAAAAATTAGTTTTATGAGAATTTCAGGCTATGATTTCTTACCCAATCAGGTTAATAATTTTTATTCCAATTTTGTTAACAGAAGAAATCTTAAAGTAAGTCATTTTAACTTTAGAGGATACTGAGTAATTCCACAATGCCACCTAAATATTGAGTTACAGAGACATTTGTTAGTACTTGTTTTTATGTTTTAGAGTTTTCATAGTTTGCTTTCTTTTATGAATGTATTAAGAAATGTATTTTCTTTCTTTTATCCATTTTGCCCTTTTTGGTTTGGTATATACTGCTTTTTTTTTTCCAGAGCAGCAATACAAGTCAACCTATTTCTATTTTCTTCCTTGTTTATCAGTACTCTTCTTTGACCATGCCAGCAAAGTGTGGGCATAGAAGTATAATGCTTACTTCCTTTCTTGCATAGATGTTTGAAAGCACAAAGGATGCCACCAGTCATCTGGAGCCTGGAGGGAAGTTCTCAAGTGCAGAAAATACTGTGACACCTGCCTTTTCAGTTGGAGAAAACCCTTAGGGTTTTCTTATCCTTCTCAGTGTGCCTCAATTTAAATATTTCAGAAAATCTTGGTAGTTTTGACTTTTGCACTAATTTCTATTCTATGGCTTTTTGGCCCATGCTTTATCTACAATGCCTATCCAAGTACAATGCATAATGGGTGGTTGGTAGTTTTTTGTTTTTTTAGAATGATAAAGATAATACTGCTTAGATTTGAACTGATAGTACAGACTATCTCCTTCATGTGGACAATAGTTTGTATTTTGCAGCTTTCTTTCTTCAGTTGATTGCTTCCAGGTGGTAGATTTGCCCCTCTCCTTTAACCAGTTCATGAAGTCTCCATGTCTGAAGTTTCCTTGTTATGTTCTTTGAATCAGTCTCTGTTTTTTTTTTAATGATTTAATGAATGAAGGTAAACACTTTTTCTTTAGTTTGGTAGAGAGAAGATAAGATGCAATGTGATCCTACAGTTTTAAAATTAGTTTCCCCTCTTAAGAGAGATATCAAGAATGTCACTCATCATGGTCCATATGGAAAATTAACCCAATGCCCTGAAAAAAAACTTTCTTCTTACTGACTATAAAGAAACCAGAAGTATCAGTTATTTTCTTTATATAGTGTGATCTAAAGAAATAATGTTATAAACAGGTTCATTGCATTTCAAAAATAAACAAACAAAAAACAACTCCAAAACAAAAACATTTAAGCTTCCACTATATCTAGAACACTGTATTAAGTGCTAAGGATATGAAGACAATGCCAAAAATAGTACCTACCTTTAAGGAGATTACATTTTGAAGATAATAGAACTCTGTGTGTGTGTGTGTGTGTGTGTGTGTGTGTGTGTGTGTGTGTGTATGTATACATACATATACATACATATATATATATATACACATACTGTAGGTAGTTGGTAATGCTGATTCTGAGCTCATGGCATGAAATTAAAGTCTTCTGCTTAGAAAGGATACTTGAAGTATTAGGATAAATGAGATTCTCATGATGGGAAATGTCAAGGGAAGAAAACATTGTCAGAGGGAGAACCTTAAGGAATTTCTCACTTAAGGAGGGTGGAAAGGGGTCAAGAACAAGCAAAGGAGAAAGAGATTGAATAGGTAAATTTGCAAGAAGAGAACCAAAATAGAGTGGTGTCTATAAAGATGGGAAGAGAGATTATTTCTGAAGAGAGTCGCTGGTCAATAGTATTTAATTACTTTAATTTTGAAGGATTCAAGTAGAATGTATTTATAATTCTCTATTCCCTCAGGTACTTGAAACTTTAATGAATACAAATAAGTTCTTTTAAAATCTCAATATCTCTGTTTGTAAAATGGGGATAATCATTGCCTACTCTCCATAAATCATTGAAATACTTTACACTGAGTGATTTTAAATTTCCTGTTTAAAAGCATCATGAGTCATAAATATCACTATAGTTACTATCATAATAACAATTTGCTGTAATAATGCTTTGTGGATATGCAAGTCCTTTAAAAGATTTTGCAGGAATAATGTTTATTTTCCTTTCTTGAGCTATTAAAGAAGCTACTTCCATGTTTCATCATTGGGCAAATAAGCAAACTCTGATGTGGAAAATAATATTTGACCTCATATCCCTCAGGGTGATTTGAAGATTACTGCAAATACCTTGGACATATTTAGATGTATAACAACAACAAAAAGTCCCCTTGTTTCTATTATTATAGACATTTGTTTAGCTTTACTGTTAGGCCTCTAAAGACAAATTCTGACAAAATATATTGGCATTGACACATTTGAAGCATTAGCTTTCACTAGAAGCGTTCTTTCTTCCTGCCACAAGTAATAGCATTGCCATTGAGAAATCTCCACAAATGGAATGGGGGTGGGAGGGAAGTGTAGGAGAACCCACTGGCATCTGCAAGTTAAAGGAAGTTAGCTTGAAAAAAAAATGGTGAGGAGTAGGATTGTAGAAGCAATATTGATATTGAGAAACCAAAGTAATTCCAGGGAAAATGTATCTTTCTTGATTTTGTCTTATTAATTGTTATTTACAATGTTTGTGTTTTAAAATCACACCCATGCTGAAGTATTAATAAGCTTTAAAATATTTGTGATATTAAGTAGAATTCAAACTATATATCCTGTTGGGAAAATCTAGGGATCTGTATGTTTCTCCTGCAGAAGAGTGCTTTTTTGAGATATTCACATAGCAAATAAAACTGAGGTTGAGCCCATAGGCTTATTGATAAAATCATTTTACTCTTTGACTTGGAGGATTCAATCAATTACATAATATGTAGATTAATCAACTACATAATATGTAAATTATCCATCATTTATAAAAAGAGCAGCTAACACTAAATTTGAAGGTGCATTAAAATTTACTTGATTTCATAGAAGCATAAACTTCTAAAATATAGATCTTGGTAAAAGATCTGGTCTGAAATGATTGAATATTCTCATTTAATAAAAATGGTAGAAATTTCAGCTTTAGAAAGTGTTTAATAATGTATAATTCATCAACATTTTTTTGTGCTACTTTTGTGCCTATTCCCAAACATAAAAAATATAATTTTTAGAATAGTAAAATACACTTTAAAATGAATATCTTCATTTGTTTTGTATATTTACTTAGGGTCAAGAGAGTCACTTTGACCCAGATATTAATTCTTAATTTCTATTAAGTATTTTTTTAAATGCAAAGTAAATCATTTAAATTTCATTAGCTTATCACATTCAAAAACATAATACTCAAGTAAGCTTGTGGTATACCATTTTTGGTAAATGAAATTTTTAGATATTCCAAGGGCTAAGTATGCAGGCTAAGCCACATTATGGTTATTATTAGGTAATGCTATTCTTTTTTTTTAGTAATTCTAATAAAAGAGCTATGGGAAATTGAAAGATAATTTTAAGATATTGCTTCTGATTTTTTTTAATTGTTGATGATATTGTTTTCCAGGTATCTGAATCACAAGAAAGGACATCAAAATGCCACCAGCAGCAAGTGGTCCACCTCAGTATCCACCCCCAGATGGAGGATGGGGCTGGGTTGTGGTTCTTGGTGCTTTCATTTCCATTGGATTTTCCTATGCATTTCCCAAAGCCATCACAGTGTTCTTCAAGGAAATTCAGGAGATATTTCACAGTACCTACAGTGAGATAGCATGGATATCATCCATTATGCTTGCTGTTATGTATGCAGGAGGTAAGAGTCTTTGGAACAAATAGCCTTTGATCCTTTCTCATGTCTAATTATCTTAAAATAATGTGTTGTAATTCTATGTTCTCTTAAAACAAATTTATTTGATTAGAACTAAATATTTTTAGGGCAGCTAGGTGGCACAATGGATAGAGTGCCAGGCCTGGAGTTGGAAAGATCTGAGTTCAAATTTAGCCTCACACACTTACTAGCTGTGTGACCTTGGGCAAGTCACTTCACTTTGTTTCCCTCAGTTTCCTCATCTGTAAAATGAACTGGAGAAGGAAATGACAAACCACTCCAGTATCTTTGCCAAGAAAATCCTTAATGGGGTCATAAAGAGTAAGACAGACATGACTGAAATGATTGAGCAACAACAAATGTTATTAGGGCAACTAGGCAGTGCAGTGGATAGAACACTGGACTTGGAGTCAGAAAGAACAGATTTCAAATTTGACCTCAGATACTTACTAGCTATGTGACCCTGGGCAAGTCACTTAGCCTTTATCTGCATAAAACTGGAGAAGAAAATGGCAAAGCATTTCAGTATCTTTGTCAAGAAAGCCTCATAGACAATAGGTCCACAGGGTCATGAATAATCAGACATGACTGAACAACAAAATATTATTAATTGTGCAATCTCATTTTTTAAAGCAAAGTACTGTGGGAGTATAACTAGCCTAGAAAGTAGTTGTTTTGTGGAGGGGAGAAAAAAAAGGACTTCATAGATCATAGTCAACTTACCATGCATACAAAGCTCTTTGTTATTAGTGATGAAATTGGAGTGTTAGTCCTTACTACTAGGTCTCATTCTCATTTTTGTGATTGCTACCATTTTGTGTATTAGTTGCTCCTGAAAATCTAATTATGTAAAGTCTCCTTTTCCAAAATAGGACCCTATGAATTACATTGCTATGTTCCATTCCACAAAATGAATACATTCTGTGATGTATATATGTATGTATATATAGTTGTTGATACATTTCACTGAACATATATCAAAAACATACAGCCCTGAGCATTGGTGTATTATTACATTGGTTTCTCTAAATGACCATGGTTCCATGGAACCAAAATGTCTTAAAAATGCTAAATAATAATATTAAAATACATACCCAGATACCCCCAAATAAATTATTTGGATGTATTTTTCTTATGTAGTGCCAAATAGCTGAATATTTAGAATAGTTCAGGTGACAACTTCTTTAAATTTTTTTTTTAATTTGGATGTATTGAAGTATATAAATTATTTTATATAGACAGATATAAAATCACATCATTTTAGAATTGGAACTAGAGTCCATCCATATTAATGATGATGATGGTGATAATAATATTAATATGGTACTTACTATGTGCCAGGCACTATGCTAAGCATTTTACAATAATCTCATTTGATCCTCACAACAACACCAGGAGGTAGGTGCTATTATTATCAATGTTTTTATAGACTGAAGCAAACAAAAGTGAGTGACTTGCACAGGGTCACACAGTTAGTATCTGAGGTTGCATTTGAACTCAGTTTTTCCTGACTCCAATCCCATCACTCTATCTACTGCACTACCTAACTGCCCCAAACTAGGACATATTGCACAGAACAGAAATTAAAATTAATTACCACAATGTAGATGGGTAGCTAGGGACAAAGCTGCCATGAAGACACAGATTTACTAAATTTATTACATAATGCAGGCTCTTTCTCTCATAGTCGTTGATCTTAAGGCATACTAGAGTTATTCTTTAAATACTGCGGCTTCCTCTTTGTGGAAGCACACATGTGCTACAAAGGTGAAACTGACCACATGCAGTAATCTAACATTTTATATGGGATATAGGACTCTCCACCCCCACTACAAATCTTCAAAATGTGATTAATTAAAAGACTATAGAGAGAGTCAGTCAACAAACATTTATTAAACATTGTTTTTATTGTTGTTCATCCGTCATTCTCAAAAAAGACCAATGACATCACAAGAGTGATGCCCTGACTTACAAGTGAATTGGATTTAAGTGAAGCAGAGCTGTGAAAAGTCATCAACTTCACACTCTCCTCCAGAGTCATCAAAGTCCAATGGCAAGACAAGAGTCAAGATGATTGGTGATGACTTAGGATACAGTGGGAGAGCTTGGCCTTTCTAAATTAAGGTCTTTCCCATGCAAGGTACCATGTGCAGCCCTATGGTGCTAGAGATACAATGAATGGCTATAGTCCTTGCTATAAAGAAGATCACGCTCTAATGAAGGAGACACCATGTAAGTAACTAGGTACATACAAGATATACGCAGAATAGATGGATATTAACCTCAGGGCAGCTAGGTGGCCCAATGGACAGAGCACAGGGTTTGGAATCTGAAAGACTCATCTTCATGAGGTCAAATCTGGCCTCAGACACTTACTAGCTGTGTAACCCTGGGCAAGTCATTTAACCTTCTTTGCCTTAGTTTCTCATCTGTAAAATGAGCTAGAGAAGGAAATGGTAAAGTACTCAGGTATCTCTGCCAAGAAATTCCCAAATGGGGTCATGAAGACTCAGACATGGCCTGAAACAGTTGAACAATAACAACAGTACCTCAGAGAAGAAAACACTAGCATCCAGGGGTTGGAAAATGCTTGCAAAAAGTGGGATTTTAAATGAGTATTGAAGAAAATCAAGAAAAATAAGAGGTGGAAGTGTGGGGAGAGAGAATTCTAGGCATGGAGGACCAACAGTGGAAAAGCTAGAAGAAGGAGAAAATGGAGTATCATTTGCAAGGAGTAGTAAGTAGGCCAGTGTAAGAAGTAGGATGTAGGAACATAGAGTATGTAGAAAGATAGTAGTGTAAGAAGAGTGAGAAGTAGTAAGGGGTCAGGTTGTGAAGGACATTAAATGCCAAAAAGAGGACTTTTCCTACAGCTCATACAATGCTGCCATAGTAAAGTTATTGATCACCACCAAGGACTCACACTGTCTTATTCCCAGTCTTATTCATAGCCCTTACTCTAAGGCTTCATCATGGCATGGAGGTGATCTTGAGTTCTCAAACACTATACTCATGGAGTATAAGCTCTGGAAGACCCTATTTAAACTCAAAAAAATCTTAGAGGGTGGCTTAGCATTGTATGCTGTTTCTGACCAAGGATGAATCTATTTGAGTGAAATTCATCAGGTGTTTTTTAATAGGGGGTCAGTGGGAGTGGTAGATGATGAACAGTAATTAATGAAGACTCTCATTCACTGGCTGTTCCCCATGTCTGGAACAATTTTACTCTTCACCTCTGATTCTTAGTTTCCATGGATTCCTTGAAGACAGCTCAAATTGACTTTCTTTAAAATTCCTTTTCTATTGTCTATCACCCCCATGCCCCACCCAGCTTCTAGTGCCTTCCTACCTGAGATTACCTTCCATCTGCTCTGTATATATCTTATATTACCTGTTTATTTACATTTTATCTCCCCTCCCCCTCCCACACACTCCAAATTAGACTATGTCCTCCTTAGGCCTGGTACTGCCTTTTGTCATTCTTTGTATCCTTAGCATTTAACAATGTGCTTAGCACATAATATATGCTGATTAAATGCTTGTTGATGGGTTTTGCATGTAAAGTTCTTCATAAATCTTAAAGGATTCTATAAATGTTAGGTATTATTAACCAGGCCAAACACCTAACAACCATCCTTCACATAAAACTATAGAGGGATATCTTTTTGTTGTTTTTCTTCAGATATTTCAGTTATATCTGACACTTTGTGACCCCATTTGGGGTTTTCTTGGCAGAGATACTGGAGTGGCTTTCTATTTTCTTCTCCAGATCATTTTACAGATGAGGAAATTGAGGCAAACAGGGTGAAGTGACTTGTTTAGCATCACACAGCTCGTAAGTGTCTGAGGAAGGATTTGAACTCAGGTCTTCCTGACTCAAGGCTATCTTTGCCATATTGTGATGACTTTTTATTTTTTTTAAATTGTGATGATAAAAAGGTTAAAAGATATAGTTTCTGAGTAACTTAATCATTTTATTAATAAGGCCAGCTCATTATGAATAAAAGGATGGCCATTAAGCCAACTCTGTTAGACCAAAGACAATTACAGCAGCTGCTCACAGTTTATATTCTCTTTAAAGAGTAGGTGTTCAATGAGGGGCTGAGAGTGACATCATGTATCCCTTGTACAGAGAGATTTATCTTTATACCCAAACCATCCCCAACCTTGGATAATCTATTCAAAAATGTATACCCTACCAAAGCCTGAGCAGAACACAATGGCTACTCCATTTGAATGGGGTCTGAAAAAAGAAAATCTAATCTCATTATCAGCAATGTCCTTCAAGAGACTGAAATTTTTTAAAAATCAAGACTTTAGAAAAATGGAAGAACTCTGGATATCCTCAGATCATTGGTTATTAATACTCATTTCTCTCAATATCATAATGAAGTAATGATAATTTTCTTTTATAACCTCTACCATGAGATAGGGTAGCCTGAGTGTATCATATCTAAATGCATATAAAACTTAATTCTATGTATCAAAATACTACTGAACATAATAGACATGGATGCATAATTAGTCATATACTAATTTTAATTTTTGTAGTCTTCACCATAGTTTTTCAAGAGTTCTCCAAGAATGTGGTAGTTTAGTACAAAATACTCTTTTTTTATGCTTACTCAAAAACTTTTAGTGAAATAAATGGTTAAAATCTCCTGTAGCTGGATATTAATAAGGACTTTTAATCTGGTAGCTATACTTTTCCATACCATCACGCAGTGACAAGTCCATTAATTTTAGCTCTCAATAAGTACAGGGAAGCCAGTGTGAAGATTTTAAGTGTGTTGACCTGTTCCCAGACTTTGGAGATCTAAAATGGTGGAGTGGTGACAATATTTGCAATCTGAGATGTAAAGTGAATGTTTACCAGAGATTGGATCAATTCTGTTGCACTGCTGACTCTTCTGTTATCACTGAACAATGGCCTCCAGGTTTGAGACATCACTAACTAACTCTCAACCCAACTACTGAACAAAGAA